TTTCCAGTTTGCCCCCAATAAGTTTTATTAAATCAATATAATGGTGTAAGTATAAAATGCACAAAACTTAAGGGAAAAACTATAAAACCAAAGTAAACAGCCAAAGCTGTAACTAAAATTCATATAGACTGCTGCCAGAGATGTGAGGTTTATATAGTAGCTGTCCCTGGAGTTGAGGTGAGGTCTCTTAGCTCTGTGAGCTTATTTCAGGAGTAAGAACACACACAGAGACACAGATTCCCTGGTCCAGTCTCACACCCGCTGCAAGAGACGTCTCTTCCAGGATTCCTCAAAAGGTGCTCCTTTAGCCTCTGTGTGGGTGACTCTGGGAAGCCAGTTGGGAACTGGTTAGTTGCTCAGGCCAGAGGTGATGGAGGCTTGGATGAGGCAAAGTTGGTGAAGATGGAGAAACACAAACAGACCAAGAATGCCTTTGGAGGTAGAACCCATGGGATCCAGTCAGAACCTGTACTGGGTGTCAATGATATACCACGCCTGGTCCTAGGCCCTTTGCGTATTCACTCATTGGGTCATTCAACAAATGTTAGCCCTGCCTGCTCTCACACGTTCGATCCCTGGGTGGGGAAGATCCCCTGGAGGAGGAAATGGCAACCCACTCCAGTATCTTTGCCTGGAAAATCCCATGGACGGAGGAGCCTAGTGTACAAGAGTCCATGGAGTCGCAAAGAGTTGGACACGACTGAAGCGACTGAGCGTGAGCACGTGGGTGACTCTGATAATGAGAAGTTCACAACTCTCTTCCTTTGGTTGATGTTCGGTTTGTGCCCAAGTGCTATTGATGGGAATGAGAAATTAGAATCAACCAAAATCATAGGGCTAAATAGTGCCAGTCCCCCAAATGAGAGGGCACTGGATAGCCACCAAGAGTGATAAGAACATGGTTTATCTCAGTTCATGGGAGTGTGCATATAACAATCTTCAGGAAGAAGAACAGAACAAAAATAGCATTTACACACTGATTACAGCTATGCTAAAATCTTGCTGTGTACATTAAGAGCTAGAGATAATTTAGTAATTTAGAATGGTGCAAATAATTGCTGTTTCATGTTGCTTTGATTTTTTTTAAATGGTTTATGTATAGAATTTAAATGAAATTTAGTACACAAAATTTTTTCTTAAATCCTCCATTAAAGAACTTGGGGGTTGTTGTTTCAAAATTGAGAATGGCTGTATGAGCACTGGATTGGGAAGGATCCTGAGGTCATGTTTCAGCTCCATCAAAGAGTGTGATCTGTTTGATTAGTGATGTCTGCCATGGGTGAAGGATTAGCAGTGGCAGTATGCAGGCTAGTACCTGCTCTCTCTTCTTGAGACACTCCCAGCAACCAGTTTCACTTGTGGTCACTCTGAAAGGTGAATGAGCTGTTTAAGGAGCCAGGTGAGAGAAATAACCACTTCTTTTAGTTGCAGGATTTGGGGCAAGTCACTGGGATACAAGATGATATGCAATAGGGACTTCCCTGGTTGTTCAGTGGTTAAGACTCTGCACTCCCAATGTTGGTGACCTGGGTTCAATCCCTAGTCAAGAAAGTAGATCCCACACGCTGCAACTAAGAGTTCGCACGCCGTAACTAAAGATCCCACATACTGCAACTGAAAAAAAAATCCCATATGTCACAGCTAAGATCCAGCACAGCCAAATAAATAAATATTAAAAAAGGGAAAAAGGTGGTATGAAATAAACACCATAAGGGTAGGAAAAGCAAAGTCCTCCACAACAGAGGCCAATTTGAGGGTAGGTAGACACAGCAGTGGAGAAAGAAATGGCAACCCACTCCAGTATTTTTGCCTGGAGAATCCCAGGGACAGCGGAGCCTAGTGGGCTGCCGTCTGTAGGGTCGCACAGAGTCGGACATGACTGAAGTGATTTAACAGCAGCGGCAGCAGCAGACACAGCAGGGAAGGCGTTATGGCCTTTGTACTGGGTCTTGAAGGATGAGATTTTGCAGGTGCAGATGCCTGTGAAGGGTATTGCATGGAGGCAACAGCATGGATAAAGCATGGAGGTTGGAAAATAACAGGCCTCCTGAGGAGCAAGCAAGAAGATCTCTATAACTGGAGCACAGAGCATGTGTAGGTTAGCAGTGGAAGGTGAAGATGGAAACGGAGGCAGGGGCCAGCCAGAGTGTGTCCGGAAGGCTAGGGTAATGAGTCTGGATTTTATTTAGTCAGCCACAGGGAGGCTTTGGTGAGTTTTGAGGCAGGTGGTACCTAGGGAGAGAGGAGACCAGAGGATGACAAGAAAATGCCTCTTTCCTGAGAGCCCATCACTGTGAGAGGACCCCAGGCCCTGTATTTTGACACGATCCCTTTGGAGTGTGGGGTGGAAATCAGAGCACTGGGATAGCGAGGTGTGGGAGGTAAAACCAAACCCCACTGAGAACCACCCCACGGGCTCCATCCACTGTTTGGGATTTCCTGAGCTCTGGGCTGAGCACGGGGAGGTGGAAGCCACAGCCTCCACTTTCTAGGAGTTTCTAGTCTGTGGAGGGAGGAAACATACCACAGGAAACAACTGGAGGCCAGTCTTAGACAGTGTGGCCCTGGGCACGGAGGATACCTGCTGAGGTCAGTGTTTAGGAGTAGAAGATGAACTTGGTGGGGAGTCTGTGGGTCAGGCTTCCCCGGGCTCCTGTCCTTGGAGGGAGGCAGCCTGGATGACTTCTAAGGGGTCCTCCAACTCTGCATATCCCTGGCTCTAGGAGGAGCTGTCCTGAAGGATGGGCAGAACTTGGACATGTAGGAGGAAGAGAAATGGGCTTCCCAGGAATGGGGAGCTGGGTGGTGGGGGGCAGCCAGGGCAGACAAGGACTCCAGACGTATGGGGACACCGAAGGGACCGACTGAGCTTTGTCAGGTCAGGTTGTCAGGCTGAGGCAGCAGAACCCCAGGGTCTGGCAACCAAGCAGGTGCNGAAGAGAAATGGGCTTCCCAGGAATGGGGAGCTGGGTGGTGGGGGGCAGCCAGGGCAGACAAGGACTCCGGACGTATGGGGACACCGAAGGGACCGACTGAGCTTTGTCAGGTCAGGTTGTCAGGCTGAGGCAGCAGAACCCCAGGGTCTGGCAACCAAGCAGGTGCCCCGGCTCCATGCATTTGACCAAGGATTCTTAGAAGGGATGTGGGGTGATCGGGGTTCGGGAACAGTTAGCCCACTGTCGTCAGACTCCTTGAGATCCGCCAGATAAGGAAAGGATCCCAGGAGGCCCATATTGGGGAGTGTGGTTGGCCTCACAAGACTTAGGGGCCCATGGATTCTGCTGTATTCACAGGATGTGACAAGATTCTAAGGATTCTATAACTTCTTTTCACTGGATTGCCAGGGAAGTCCCTCCTATGACTTTCCTTTGCTCTCCCAAAGCGGACCCCAGGGAAGGCACTGCCTCCTTACCTTGCCTTCCACCCCAGAGTCTAGAATGTCCCTGGAGACTGTGGGCAGGAATGGAAGCTGACCTGGTCTCGAGACACAGTCCGGCAGGGACCTCCCTCTCTCTGCCAGGCCTAGGCAGACCTCTAGAGCCCTTCTGCCTCTCCTCCATCTAGGGCCAGGGGAGACTCCAGGGCTCTGGCAGAGCAGTGCGTGGCAGTGGCCAGAGTGGAAAGTCCCCATGGGCTGGATTTTGTTGGTGTTTGGCAGGCCTGGTTTTGGCCTCCCTCCTGGGGCTCAAGGGCCTGACAATCTGTTTGGAGCATTGAGTGAGGGGTATGAGGTGGCAGAGGGGATACAGGGTGGGGACTTTTTCCACTCGCCCTAAAATGGCGAGTTCTCTAGTGCCAGGTTGGTGGGCACTGGGCCAGCTCCAGGTCACTTCAGGCGATGAGGAGCCTGTTGCCGGGAAGCCAGCAGGACCTGGAGATGAGGGACAGAAGAGGACACGGGAGATCGGGCTCAGAGCAGGAAGGACAGATGAGGGCTGGGGAAGAGGGTCATGGGGGACACAGGTGTTTCAGGAGAACTAAAGACATGGGCAGAGTTGCAACGGGACAGAAGAAGAGAGACAACGAAGAACAGAACCAGGGGCTGGGACGTCCCCCTGTCCCCATGCCCCTGCCAGGCCTCCTGCTGCTGCAGACCAGTGTCAGAGGCACAACCAGAAGCCAGTGTGGCTTACATGTGGGTGTCCTGAACACTTGCTGAACTATGATGAGAACTTCCCCAAATGTCCCGTTTGACCAGGAAGTCCTCTAAAGCTACCCCCAGTAGCTCGGACTTCAGTCACTGGCGACCCAGCTCCATCACCTGATCCATGCTAATAATGCCGCCATCATTACCACCATCAGCACCACACTAACCATCATCATCATTACCTTTATCCTAGCTAGTGACCCCATCATCCCCCAGACATCCTAACTGCATCCCTCAAGGGCTTGGGAGTACTTGAACCAGGACTTAAGTCAGAATCTTTGAATGTATCACCTCTAGACCAGTGATACTCAACTATTTTGCTCCCAAAAAGGACGCTGGGCTATGCCTGCAGACATTGTTGGTTGTCACAACTAGGGGACAGCTACTGGCATCTAGTCAGTAGAGGCCAAGGATGTTGCTAAACATCCTACAATGCCCAGGAGAGCCCCTCAACAAAGAGTTTTTTGTTCCGAAATTTTGGAATTACGGACTTGTCTGTAGACCTGCCTATAGACCCTACAGCCCTCATTCTGCCCTCCTCTGACCCTCACTCCAAAATGCCCAGCTCACACCTCTGGTTCCTGGGCAAAGAAGTACATCTTTGCCACCCCATCTTTCGGCAAGTTTGATCTCTTATCGCTCACACCTCCTGGCCTCCACTGCTTGTTCTGAAAAGTCAATAGGATGAAAAGTCCTTTGAGGCCACCCTCACAAAGGAACACACACGGAAATGACTGATACAGGGAGCCCAGGGTACACCCAGGGTTGAGACCATGCTTGTCCAGGGCAGGGAGGCAGGGACTGGGCTGGGTCCCGGAGGTATAAAGGAGGAAGGAGTGTTCAGGCTTTCACTCTACTGCAACAGCACAACTCCGAGCTGCCTCTCCGCTGCAGCCAGCTGGAAATCAGCGTCATGAAGTGGATGGTGCTGGCCTTGGTCTCCCTCCAGGCCTTGGAGGCAGTGGCATTGGTCAAGTGAGTCTGGGGCCTGAATGCTGGGACAGGAACCCTGGCAGCTTTTTTTTTTTTTAAATAAACTTATTTACAAAACAGATACAGATTCACAGACTTAGAGAACAAACTTATGGTTGCCAGGAGGGAAGGACTAGGGGAAGAGATAGTTAAGGATTTGGGATCTATGGGTACACTCTGCTCCAATTAAAATGGATAACCAACAGGGTTATAACCTTATAGCTCAGGGAACTCTGCTCAATATTATGTGTCAACCTGGAAGGGAGGGGAGTTTGGGAGAGAATGGATACATGTACATGCTTGGCTGAGGCCCTTTGCTGTCTCCCTGAAACTCTCACAAATTGTTAACCAACTATGTGCTGTGCTGGGCTTAGCTGCTCAGTCATGTCTGACTCTTTGTGACCCCATGGACCGCAGCCTGCCAGGCTCCTCTGTCCATAAGACTCTCCAGGCAAGAATACTGGAGTGGGTTGTCATGCCCTCCTCTAGGGGATCTTCCTAACCCAGAAACCGAACCCAGGTCTCCCATATTGCAGGTGGATTCTTTACCATATGAGACACCAGGGAAGCTCAAGAATACTGGAGTGGGGAGCCCATCCCTTCTCCAGGCGAACTTCCCCACCCAGGAATTGAACCGGGATCTCCTGTCTTGCAGGCGGATTCTTTACCAGCTGAGCTACCTGTGAAGCCCTAATCGGCTATATCCCAATAGAAAATAACAAGTAAAACAACAACAACAAAAACTACTATAGACTGGATGACTTATAAATAACAGAAATTTATTTCTCAAAGTTTTAGAGGCTGGGAAGTCCAAGATCAAGGTGCCAGTAGATTTGATGTCTGGCGGAGAGTCTGCTTCCTAGTTCATATACATACCCCCCATCATTCTGCTGTCCTCACATGTTGGAAAGGACACAGAAGCTCTCTGGGTGACTCAGTCCCTGAGTCGGCACTGGACAGATCTCAGGATGGGAAGAGATATGACCTCTGCCTTCAGGAAGCTTTCAGTTGGAGGGAGAAGCACCATCCCTTCTCCCACTGATGATAAAGGATAGACCAGAAAAAGAGAGAGTAGGGGTGACTACTGCCTGAAAATTAAAAAAAAAAAAAACCTTGAAAGGCTGGTATAATTATTTCTAGATAGGGAGACACTTGCTAAAAGTTTCCTTAAGGCCCCCCAATTTATTTGACAAATGCCAAATCATCTAAGCAGAAATACCAGTCATGTAATCTCTATTTGCTGAGGTGTGAGGGGAAAGGGGATGAGGTGGCCGGGCTCACAGGACATCAAGAGGGCGCCCAGCCTGCCACACTACCGGCGACTGCACCATTAAAGGGGCACTTTTTTTGGTGGAAAGTTGGCTCCTCTCAGAAACTTCTTTGAATATGCCAATTCTGGAGTCGTGGTGGTGTGAAGCAATCAACAGCCTTCGTATCTCAGGGTGAATGGGTTTAGCAGAGAATTTCTGGAGAATGCAGGGTCTTGAGGGAAGGGGGAAGAGATGGGGAAAGAAGCAGGAATTCTGAGGCCTGGATGCAGGCCTGGGGGCACTGGCAGAGACCCCTGGGCAGAGGAGGCAGGCAGGTCTGGGAGGACATGGGCAGAAACCCATAATTCAGGAGATCCAGTTCCAGAGGCTGATCTGGGCTCTGGACCACTCAAGCCAACCTCCCCATGGTCCCTGCCTCCTGCGAGAAGCAGGACTGATCCAGGCCAGACACGGAGCAGAAGAACCAGGACCCTGTCTTCTGAGTCCCCAGTCTAGTGCTGTTCCCCTGGGCCCGTGCTCTGTCACATCCAGCCAGTGAAAACTGCCAGGGCCACCATACCAGGGACTCTTTGGGGTTAACTTTGCCATCTCTGAAGCCTTTTTATTTTTTGAATGATGTATTGCTTTTTAATTTATTATTATTTTGCTGCGTTGTGTAGCGTGTGGGATCTTAGTTCCCCGACCAGAGATTGAACCCATGCCCTCTGCATTGGGAACATGGAGTCTTAACCACTGAACCACCAAGGAAGTCCCTCTGAAAACTTTTTTTTTAAAATGCACAAATTGGGAATTCCCTTGTGATCCAGTGGTTAAGGGCTCTGTGCTTTCACTGGAGAGCGTGGGTTCAATCCCTGGTCAGGGAACAAAGATCCAGCAAGCCACGCAGCACGGCCAAAACAAACAAACCACATAAATCCTGCAAAGGGTAATGTCTGAAGTTCCTTTCCCCTTCCTGGGGAAGAGTTTATGGGGTATTTGAGCGTGGAGGACCAGGGTGGGATGATGACCCATGGGATGAGGTCGGGGCAGGCCTGGGTGAAGGTAGCTGTCTTCTGAATCTTGGAGCAAGTCCTGAGAAGAGTTTTCCAAGAAAGAGAAAGAGAGAGGAAGAAAAAGAGAGGCAGAGGGAGAAAGAGCCAGAGAGAGCCAGAGATTGAGACAGAAATGGAGAAAGAGGGAGACAGACACATATAAGCAACAGACACCAGGGACAGAGCGACAGGGAGCCTGAGGCAAACAGTTAGGGATGGAGAGAGAGACTGGGATATTAGAGGTGCAGCAGGAAAGAGGAAGGCCCTGCCCTGATCCCAGCCCTTCTGCAGAATCCCCTTGAAGAAATTTAAGTCCATCCGTGAGACCATGAAGGAGAAGGGCCTCCTGGAGGACTTCCTGAGGACCTACAAGTATGACCCGGCCCAGAAGTATCACTTTGGTGACTTCAGCGTGGCCACCGAGCCCATGGACTACATGGACGTGAGTCTTGACCCTTCCCTGGGGCTCCCCCTTTTCCTGCTGCCAAAGGCTGAAGGCCAGGCCTGGGCTGTGAGCTGCACTCTCCCTCTCTGCACCCTCCCACTCGCCCCCTGGAGGCTGCCCCCTGTCTCTCAGACCTGCCTGCCAGCTCGGAGACTTCACTGCCGGAGAAAGTCTGACCCGGCAGCTGAGTCCACATAGACTTTTGCTGCTGCCCCAGGCGGGCTCAGACTGAGGGCCTGTGGGTTCTGGGCAAGTGCAGAGGGCAGGCTCGGGCCCCTGCTTGTGGTGTGGGCTGTGGGGCTGGCCACTCTGCTGCTCTGGCCATGGAGAAGGCTGGGCTTGATGGGCCGAGCGGCAGAGTGACCGGCTCCAATGTTCCCACCACAAGCAGGACCCGCCCCCCTGGCCCCCACCCAGAGCTAACAGCCTGTCCCATGTCCCTTCCTCCCCACCCAGGCTGCTTACTTTGGCGAGATCAGCATTGGGACGCCACCACAGAACTTCCTGGTCCTTTTTGATACCGGCTCCTCCAACCTGTGGGTGCCCTCTGTCTACTGCCAGAGCCAGGCCTGCAGTGAGTGCCGGGCTGGGCAGGGGAGGGCAGTGACACCCGCTGGGGAAGGGCTGCACTTTCGTAAAGATCGCTGAGGGGCGGGGGTGTGGGGTGGGCAGGGAGCTCCAGTCCTGGAAAGGTCCAGGTATTTGTCCAGCATCACACAGCCCATGTCCAAGCCAGAGGGAAGGAACTGGCCATGAGCCTGGGTGGTCCCTCTCTGATTACCAGGACATATTCCTTCACCTACTCCCTCCTAGCCCAGCTCACTCCACTCCGTTCTGTTCACTCTGGGCAATGCCATTCCAGCCCACTCCACTCCACAACACTCTTTCTATGCTACTCCCCCACCACGATTTACTAAGTTCTTACTGAACTCTCCCAAGGACACGGGAGAAGGACACAGATGTGGTCCTTCTCCTGTCGCTGTCTTTAGAGATGTTCACATCCTAGGGTGGCCCTGGCCCCTGCCGAAGCCTTGGGGTTTGGGTCTTGACACCTCTAGTCCAGAAGGCCCCTCGCTGGCCCCATCCTAGGCTGTCTCAGGATCCTAGTGTGGCCAGCTTTTCCTAGGGGTGAGGCAAATGTCAGGGAATACCCTGGAGGTCCATTCACTCCTTCATCTGATGAGTAATTTCTCGACACTCGCCATGTATCAGGAGATCTGCTGGGGGTCAGGAAAATGGAGATAGATACTATACAACTTGCCCACACTACAAGGGAGGTCATCATCCTAGGGCATCTGAAGATTCTGTGACTATGTTAGGTTGGGGGGTGGGTGCTTTAGGGTCAAGGCTGCCCAGTTCTCAAGGGCCTTCCGATGCCAGGAATGTCAGTTGGCTCCCACCTGACTCCTTGGCCAGAAGGGGAGGTGGGTGTGTGTGTGTGTGCTGAGGCTCTAGGATGGGAGACAAGTGGGCAGCCTTGCAGACCTTAGAGGGGGCCAGCATGACTTCCCGAATTTTCCCTTCCCTGCAGCCAGTCACACCCGCTTCAACCCCAGCCTGTCCTCCACCTACTCCACCAATGAGCAGACCTTCTCCCTGCAGTATGGCAGCGGCAGCCTCACTAGCATCTTAGGCTATGATACCCTGACGGTGAGTGATGCTGCTGGCTGAGCCCTCACCTCTTCCCAGGATGTGGGGAAGGTAATTTGGGGCTGTGAACTCGATTCTAACCTCACAGTTCTCAAAGTCTGATGGGGAGACTTAGACGGATGCCTTTGAAAAATATGGGAAACACCCAGTGCTCTACCATTGTCTGTTATTGTTTAGTTGCTCAGTTGTGTCTACCTCTTTTGCAACCCCATGGACTGTATAGCCCACCAGGCTCCCCTGTTCATGGGCTTTTTCAGGCAAGAATACTGGAGTGGGTTGCCACTTCCTTCTCCAGAGGGTCTTCCTGAGCCAGGGATGGAACCCATGTCTCCTGCGTTGGCAAGCGGATTCTTTACCACTGAGCCACCTGGGAAGCCCATGCTCTACCATACGGGCCAGAAAATCATAACACTAGAGACTTATCCAGGAACTTCCTTGGTGGTCCAGTGGTTAAGACTCTGAGCTTCCAATGCAGAGGGCGGGGGTTTGATCCCTGGTCCGGGAACTAAGATCCTGCATGCTGTGAGGTGTGGCCAAAACAACCAGAAAAGGTTCATCCATTCACTTATTGATCCCTCACTGTGGGCCACCATGTGCCAGGTCCTGGGGACAGAGAGTGATTGGGATGACCTGCTCCTTTTCCTTAAGGAGCTTAACGCCTCAGGGAGAAGCAGGTTGGGGTGGGTGGTGCTGCAGCAGGTGAGGATGGCTCCTTGGAAGAGAAGGGGCTTTCTCAAACCTGTCAAGAAGAGAGGTGGCAGAAGAGAGGGGAGGGATGAAGAACAGATAGATGGGCGTCAGGAGGGGGATCCAGAGTGAGGTGTGTGGAGTTACATTCATCACTTCCCATCCTCTGTGTCCCCTCCAGGTCCAAGGCATCCAGGTCCCCAACCAGGAGTTTGGCCTGAGTAAGACCGAGCCGGGCACCAGTTTCCTCTATGCGAAGTTCGATGGCATCATGGGCATGGCCTACCCCTCCCTGTCCGTGGATGGGGCCACCACCGTCCTCCAGGGCATGGTGCAGGAGGGTGCCCTCACCAGCCCGATCTTCAGCTTCTACCTCAGCAGGTAAAGAACTACCTGGCAGTCCCCAGCTCCCAGCCCACTCGCTTCCACGGGCCTGGACGGCTGAGGTTCAAACACTTTGAAGTTTGGAGGCAGGCATTCCCAGCAGGCATTCGGCAGGACCTTTCCTACTGGGCTTCTGACTCTTCCTCTCCCGCGCTCCCCACCCCTGCATCTGTCCCCAGCCCACTCGGTCTCTTCTTTGCATTTCTTGGCCAAGACAGAGTCTCCCCTTCCTCCGGCAGAACTCTGCTTGGAGCATTGTTGCAGCTTCTCCTACGTCTATGGGGCTTCCCCGGTGGCTCAGATGGTAAAGAATCTGCCCGCAGTGAGGGAGATCCGGGTTCATTCCCTGGGTGGGTAAGATCCCCTGGAGAAGGGAATGGCAACCCACTC